GCTGCTAGAAAGAACAAAAAACATCCTTTTTCTAAATTGCACCAAAAAATTTCCGGTTTTTTTTGTTACACACTGTAAATTAAATGGTTAATTAATAAATGTTTCGCAAATTCACCCTTGAATTGTTACCCTGGTAACACTATTTCCAATTAATAAATCAAGTAGTAAATTGATTCACATTCAGCAAGTGTAATTTCTAGTATAACTTCTATACATTTTGTTAATTGTGAATCCGAGTGCTCAATAAGATATTTATTTTTGTTAAATTGTTTTTATATATGTGATAATAAAAGGATTTACCTAATTTCTGATATGGTTTTCTAATTATTATACAAAATAATATGAATTTAAAAGATCTAATAAAAAATTTAGAAACAATCTGTAATAATGTTTTTCATATCAATTAACAAAGATAATGTTCAATAAATGATTTAAATGTTCCTTTATGCATTTCCTGATGCTTGTCTCCGATATTGATTGCTTTTAGTTTTGCATATTTCTGAGTAAGTATATTGAACAAGCATGTTAAAGTACTAGCAGATGGTCTTTTTATTATATCCACTAAAGTTTAAAAAAAAATAATAATTAAAAAATGAATAAATAAATCAAAACAACAAAATTAAGCACCCAGCATATGAATTTTCCTGATTTTTAGTAGAAGCATACTTTGAACAAATCAACAGATTATTACAGATTATTGACAGATTATGAAAAAGCAAGTTTAGTACTATTTATTTCAATAACGAATTAATTTTTTTTTTTTAAAAAAATGTGACTTGTATATGATGAATAACCTCTTGTAAATTCACTTGTGGCATCAAAAATAGTGTCATAATAATGATGATGATCAGCAAGGGGGATAATAAAAACATACCCAGAAATGGTTGAAATGAAGAAAAAAAACTTTAATTTTTGTTTTCCTCACTACACTGATACTAACTGATACTTCTATGCCAAGAAAAATTGAAATAACTGATAAGCCTGGATTTTCTTACTTCCTGTCCACACCATGTGAAAGTTGGGATGCATTAGAGTTCATAAAGAATGGTGCGCATCTAAACAACCTATTAACAAGGCAAAGATCACGATAGCAATCACAAGACAGCTAGAGTGGTTTATGAAGGAAGGATCAGAAGAAGAAAGAAAGGAAGCTGAAAGGATGTTAAAGCAATTTAAGGCGTGTTCATTTTTACAGTTGGGGAGTTTTGGTTATGTAGGGTTAAAATTAGATTTTAGGTTTTTTGCGAGGTATATAATGGTTGTGGCAGGAATCATGAGGGAATACGTTCTGCCCTGTCTCAACTGGGATTAAAGTTACCGACTGGAATATGTATACAAGTGGTGATGGAATACGTTCTGCTGAAATCTTTCCATGGACTTGCAAAAAGTTAACCATCATGAGTTAATCTTGTTTTTTATTACTATTAAAGAAATACACAGTGAGTCTTGGTATAACAGATATGTTCGTTCCAGGAAATTTATCTGTTATACCAAGTCATCTGCTATACTGAGATATCCATAAAAAATCAGAATTTTTATTAAATCATGTGATACATGTTACATTAAAAATTAATTTTATAAGCAATACCAAAATTCATTGCTTGAACTAGAGACATCAGAAGGATTTGAGTTGAGAAATTGGTTTTCATATAGCATCTTCAATGTAATTTTATCATTAGATGGATCAAATGCTCGTGTCCAGAATTCACACTAATAATTAAAAAAAATTTATTTAAAGTTTGAGATTAATTAGGTCATAAATCATTAATTTAGTTACCATTGATTGATTTTTTTCAAAAGGTGATATCTTTGTAGACCCAGTGGACAAACATTGATCTTTGCTTTTTATATTCGCCAATAAAAGATGACATGTATCCTATTCCTGCTCCATCTATATCAGCATTTTTAGAAATTCCCAATGATATAATATGAATTTTAAATTTGTCTACTTTGATAACAAATGGACGAAATTGCACATCTTCCAATGATGCTTCTAAATTGCTCTCATCCTCCCAACCTAATACTAATGGACCAGAATACTTGGTATTTGAAAGAGGATTTAATTTTTGGTACAATGAAGTAATTGCTTTGCTGGAGGAACTTTCAATATCACTAAACTCATTTTCAACATAACTTCTAAAACCAGGGAGTAATTTATGGTCTTTGTTACCTTCCAATACTTGTGTATAATATCTTTTAGAAGTTGCTTCAATCTTGTCCATAATGCTTACTTCGATTACACCTACACAAACTATTGAATAATTGATAAAATGTTCATTAGTATTTTTTTGTTCATAGATCTTGTCTTTAATGCTTACTTCAATCACTCCTATACAAACTGGATCTTAATCTTTATTATCATCCTCAAAAAAGACAATTCGTTGTCGTCATTTGCATATTATTGTTTAATGTTGCTATAACAACTACTGATTGATGGATATTCATAACAATCATTAATGAAACTTTAATCAATATAAAGTCAGAAATATAAAACAATCACTAATAAAATACCTTTTAGTTTTTGCTGAATCCCATCTACATAAATTCTTCATGACTATTAAAATTTCTATAAAATAGTTTTTCGTGAACCTCTCTAAAACTTATTAACCAATACCCCCCATAAAGTAATAACCATATGAAAGCTTAAAGTATTCTACACCTTCTCATTTACTATCAAGTCTTTTAAAGCGATATTGAGAAATAATCTGAGGTTTGAAGTGAAAAAGTAATACTGTTTTTGAATAGCCGTGAATTCATGTAGAGAAGACCTTTCTATATGAAAAAGTATTCATTAGAAAGCTTTATTGGGGTACTTTCATTTTACTCTAACAACAAATTTCGTGTTTATTATAAAAATAACGAGATATTTTAAAAAAAAATTCATGTGATACGAATTTAAAATTTATTTTCACATATAGAAAAGCAGCCTCAGGGAAATGTCACACGACTACTGTTATATGAAAAATCCATTAAATCCGTTAAACCAAGATAAAATAATTATAGAAAAATTTGGTTTTGAAAATTTATCCGCTAAACCTCAAATCCACTATACCGAGGTCTGCTATACCGAGACTCACTGTGTAAAAGTTTTGCCTGATTATTATGGTGTGGGCTTACATTGGTATAAAATAAAACTTAATTGTTGTAGGAAGGTATAAAGACTGGTGGGTATATCGATGATTTTTGGGTTAGAAATGCGAACATAAAAGATGCTGAGGTTTCTGCAAGGATTAGAGACATAGAGGCAAAAAGAATTGTTGGTATTCAATCTTTATCCACATTTAAGATTAAGCTTAATTCCAAGTCTCTTTCTTTTTATTTCTCATACAATAAGCAGATAAACATTTACTTATGGTAAGGTTTACTTTCAAACTCATAAATTTAATGTTATCACTAAATGCAAATAAACATTCGTTTCATGTAGAATGAAAGATCTAGAAATATATTGAATGAGACCATAGAAGAACATAATAAAGCATCTGAAGCTTTGTCTGACTTTGCAAATGTTGAATACAATGCCAGGAAGAAAAGAAAACAGAATCACCAGTCAGATAGATATACTTCGCCATTGCCACCGAGCCCAAAATTAAGAAATTTGCCAATAGAACTCTCAAAGTTCACTGATAATCTGTTCCTTGAAGAGGAGAGTAAGGTTGCTTGCCAAAACTCCTCCAGAAATTAACCAGCAGGGTTTCAGCAGGTTACACATTAATTGTTTATTAGAGTTTCGACAGAGTTTTGCATTTTGAGGTTTCACCATTTCAGCATAGTTTCAACAGGATTTTTGATAAGATTTAATATAGTTTTGCCATGGTATCAGCAATTACTAAGGAGGTTTCGCCCACAACCTTAGAGGTGAGCGAAGCAGATGACGTTATAGCAACTGATGACATCCCATGTGAACTATCTTTTGAGCATGAAGATTTGGTCAACGAATTTTTTTTAGGAAAGACTAATGTTTCTCAATTATTCCGGATATATCAGAGTGAATCAATAAGGATTGCAAAAGATGGAGGTTTACTTATGTTCACGAAATATTATCTTTATCCTCAATTCTAATGCTAACCCCTAATTCACATTCAACAGTCATGATTGATATTTTTGGCTCGCCTTTGCTTGATAAAATTTACAAAGAACTAATGCCAATTCAACAAATTGTATTAGAGCCTACATGCCATCAGGAAATTTTTTCTGACGCGGATTTACGTAATTATTACACTATTTACATAAGTTTATGGCGGGCCCTGTAATATTATGCAAATAAGCATACAAAAATTATGCAATTATTACATCGAGTGTAAATATTAAATAATTTTTTATGCAAATATTACAAATTTACATATTAAAATTTATGGGCGTAATATTACGGCAGGAAAATTTCCTGATGTCACAAGGCAATGCTCAGAAAGGCTATTAAGATGGCAAATAAGTTGAGTGACGATGCCACGAATTGATTGTGTACTCAACTTGCTAATAAAAAAACACTGAGAGATAGTGCAGGTTTTGTCATCTTTGATTGCCTAAGAATGTTGCCCATGTCGAAAATAAGAATTGAAAATTGTGAAACAACACACATTACAAATTATCTTGATCGAATTATGCGGGGATTCTTCAATAATCCAAACCAGCATGTCGTTCAGTGGCCTAATACGGCTTTAGACGAAAGCAAAGCAAGGAAAATTGAAGGCCGGAGTAAATAACCGGATCTTATTGTTTCCATCATCCATCAACTACAATCAAAATCTGCTATATTCATAGTCCTCCGTCACAGAAAAACAACGTATATAAGAATTGTAATGACCTCATTCGCCTTGGTATCTTCATGAAAGATTCTTTGGATTCAGCTATAGACAAAGGCGCAGATATAAAAATAATAGGCTTTCAGTGTATCGGTAAGGAGATTAATACAGCATGCTTTTTCTCAGGTAATTATTTTTAATCGACTTTTGCTTCTTTTAGGTTTTAAACTTGATTTTTACATTATGGATCTTACTCATGGTATATATACTATGGTTCACTTTGGGCAAGTGATGTTTCCAGCTTCGATTAAAGAAATGGCAGCTTTTGTTGATGAAATGGAAACGCTTCTACGAATACAAGAGATCTTTTACGAATCATTTAATATTTTATATGCTAAACTCTGTGCTCCAAGTCCGCCATCAAACAAATTGACACTCAAAAAGAACACACTGTGTACTCCGAAGTTTAGGAAACTTGTGAATAAGACTCGGGATTGTAATCGAAGCTGTCCATTCTGGTTTAGACGTTTCTAATATATTATAGCATGTTTGAGTGCACATCTAAGAATTTATCATATGATTCGGTCACATTTTATGTGTTAGTTTTAATGTTGCTGTATAAATGCGTAAAAATATTAGTTAAGTTCTCCTACATCAAGCGTTATTTCTATGTGAGTGAATGCATAATTTTTTCCTTGCGAATAACAAATTGTAATACTTGTGTATTTTTATTCCGAAAAAATGATTTCACAGTTTAAAGTGAACTTTCATTACTGCTAATTTATTTTATTAAAATTTTCAATCTCAAAATTAACGACATAATACTATAAAATAATAAAGTTTATTTCATTTTGAACGAATCATGAAATCGCAATTTTTGAAATTTGTGTGTGGCGCAGCAATAGAACCGAGCCAACCATATTCCAAATTAGAATTTTTTCACGCCTTTATTAATCATTGTTAAATAAAAATAAAATTTTTTATAAATTACAAATTAAAATTAAATATTAATGAATGTGTGTATTATTTGTTGGTTGATGTTAATAAATTGTAAAAAGGGATAGTTATTAAATATTTTAATCATTATCATAACCAATTATCTCCCCAATTTGAATCTTTTCTATCAATTTGACTATTCCAACTTCCACTATTACCACTATTACCACTATTACCGCTATTACCACTATTACCACCATTATAATAAATATCATTTGCAACAGTTTGACCAGTTGCTGTCGGTGCTCGTTTTAAATTATATTCATTATTTTTCCAATATCTTTCACCATCTTTTAGATCGTATGGTGGTAGAGTAGCGTTAAAAAATTGAGAAGTTGTTGCGTTATATTTTCTTATATTTCCATCAACATCAACATCAACCTGTTTAACTTCTTTTGGATTTGATGAGTATGCTGGTTCAAGGTCAGTTAATTGGGAGCTTCTATTATCCTTGGTTTTTTTCTTCTTTGACAACCTGGGTGCAATCTCATATAAATTTTTCACTTGTTTTTTTACATGATTTTCATCCAATGCATCCCTGAATTCATCAGTTTGTTTTTTCCTTTTCTTAACGGCCAAATATCTGATCAACAGCACTGTTCCAATCAAGAATATTATTGCTGAAAGAACTATTATTAAAATGTGCCACCATTCTAGTCCCTTCTTTTCTTGCGCTACATCATTATCACTATTATTGGTAGCTGGCTGAGGTGGCACTACTTGATCATTTGCTTCACTCTGGCATAGTCTTTCACTTTTTATTAATTTGGTACCAGAAGGACATGACCCATTACAAGAACCACCAATCAATACATTTGACTGATTTGAACAACCAAGGCACTGGTTAGCTTTTGGACCAACACATGATGAACATTTTGCATTACATCGTTGACATTTGCCAGTACTATCAAGATATGTTCCCATTGGACAAACTTCTATACATTGGCCATCTTTGGTTAACACTGGTCTGTTTGATGGACATTTTGTACACTGATTGATACCAGGTCCTGAACATTCTGCACAATCAGAGTGACATTTTGTACAAGTAGTATTTAAAGACACAAAAGACGATGGGCATGGTGTCGATGAACATAATCCATTCATAGCAAAAAGATTTGAATTTGAACATGATAAGCATTGATTTTCAAGGGGCCCACTACATGTCTTGCATGCGGAATTACAATCTAGGTGAAATATAATAATAATAATATATATATATATGTATAAATTATACTTGTATATTTAAATTATTGCTTCAAATAAATAAATAAATTAACAAGTTACCTTTACATGTCATATCACTGTCGGCAAATTTGTTAGAAGAGCAAGTTTTAACACATTTACCATTGTCTAAAACAAAGCCTGGTATGCATTTGGAACAAGTCACACTATCCTTTGGACTTTGTGGAGTATAACCTTGTATAGAACAATCAGTACAAGAACTTGGACAAGCTATATATAAAAAAATATAAATGATAAACATTAATTATATGTAAATAAAAACAATAATAATATGTAGATAGGAATACACATATTGATCAATTGTATTTACCTTCACATGCATTTTGCGAATTGTCAATGAAAAATATTTGCTGCGTAGCAACATTTAACTGACATTTACCATCATTAGTAGGTTTTTGTGGAAAACATCCACCATTAAAATAATTTAAAGGTGATAGACATTTTAAACACTCTCCGGGACCAGGACCATAACAAGTTTGACATTGGGTATTACATGATTGACATAGTTGTGATGCTGAGTCAAAATATTGACCGACTGTGCAACTACTTGCTTGAGGAACACATTTTGTTGGATCATCGGCACTCAAAGCAAGTGATGGTTTACATACTGTACATTTACCAGTTTGTGCTTCACACGAATTACAACCTGATGAACAAACTTTGCAATCTACTCCTGAAGCAAAAAAACCAGTATCACAAGTTGAGCATTGTTTCTTGGGATCATTTGGATCATTGGTCCATCCAGCATTACATGAACAGACACCTTTATCATCACAAACTCCATTTCCACAATTACATGCTATTATTGTCAATCAATAGTATTGAAAAAATATTATTACTTTTATTTTTTCACAAAAATGTTTATACATGAAATAAAACAATCTATCAATAAATAATTAATACCTTGACAATTCACACCGAAAAATCCTGGCAAACATTGATCACATTTTTCACCAGTGAATCCATCCTTACATTTGCAAGTTCCTGAACCAAATAAACCATCTTCACAAACAAATTTTGTTGGGTCACCACATGAAGTTTGACATTCTATTTATTTCATACATAGTATGTGTGTATATATTTATATATATATATAATTTAATAAAAATATATTTTCTTTGAAATTAAATAATAGTGATAATAATAGTACCTTGACAATTTGGACCAAAAAAACCAGGTAAACATTGATCACATCTTTCACCAGTGAAACCATTCTTACAAGTACATGTTTTTTTCTCATTACAAAAACCACCTGAACCACATTCTTTTGCACATGATGCTATATATAACAATAATAGAAACAATAAATTAGATAAAAAATTTTAAATAAAAAAACCAAATAAATTTTTATAAGCAAAAATACCTGAAGAAACATCGAAACTGCCAGCTGGTGCTTGATTAGTAGCAACGGATACACCGGTAAAATTGGCAACAGGTTCAAATAAACCAAGATTCGTACCAGAGAAATTAGAGGATTGCCATATAACACCACGAAAACCATCGGGTACCAAAACCGAACCAATCATGATAGCTTTTGTTTGAGTAGTTGATTCTGAAGCACCAGATTCAAAAAACTCACTATTACCAAAATATGCAGGTTGTTCATAAATAACCATTCCAGACTTTAACTTGACAATTATTGTGGAAGTTAATAATTTTATAGGATTAGCTTGAGCAATATCAGAATCATAAATTATGGGATCGCTTTCTCCTGAATCAATCTCAAATAGAAAACCTGGTGGAATCTCAAGTGAAAATGGTGATTGGAAAATGCTTGTTGGGAGAGTTTTTGATGTATATTGATCTACAACTAATTGAGTAGCATTTCCACTAAATAATGGATTAATATAAATGTTAACAGCATCTAATAATTGATAAAATATATTTGTTAGAATCAAGAATGAATTTTACAAATAAATAAATGAATATATATATATATATATACTTACTGGGAGCAACATTATAAGTTTTCCATGACATAGGTGTAGAGTTATTTTGACAAGTATCTAGGCCTAGATTATCACCTAACATTGTTAAACACTTTCCATTATTTGAGCTGCTTGTGAAAGTATCATCACTATTCAATTTCCATTTTTGGGTAACTCCATTATCACAAGGACAAGCTTGCACAGCAGAATTAGATTGTGTGGTAAGGCACAACTTGTTATCTAAAGATCCAATTGAAATTTCAGTTGAATTTGATAATGGTCGAGATGGATCTGTTGAAATAAGATTCCATTTTATTAAATCAGAAATTTTTCCAAATCGATCAACAGGACAGCTTGTGAGAGTTATAGATGTGCAACTTTGGGTTGAATTGCTTGCGTATTGTAAACAGGTTTTTGATTGTTCATTGCGAATAAACTTGGCTAAAATATCAAAGGAAAAACAGTTAGTCAAAAAAAAAATTTCTGATGCAAAAAAAAGTTGAAAATTATATAGTTGTGAAGACCTACCTGCTTGTACTTTAGTATTCACATTTGTAAGCAACAGCAAAATAACGAAAGCTAATATAATAAAATCAAAGTTCCTGCTTTGTTCTCTCATTATTATTATTATTATTATTATTATAATTAGTTAAGTTAAAGTTTAAATATTAATGGTATCTATCTACAAAAAAATCTATTTTAAATAAAATCTATTTACAAAATAAATATATAATTAAGAGAAATCCAGTTCCCTTGTTATTTAATGAAAAAGGAAAATATAGTGTATAAACAAAAGCTAAGATTCGAACGACTATGGCACCCTTGGTTTATTATTATTAAGAAGAGTAAAAAATATCTTTTTTTTTACAATAGCTGTCCATTATATATACAATTTTCAGTGTAATTATGCATGGACTAATATGGAAATAAAGTTAATTTGTTAACTTATTTGTTTACTTCGGTTTTTTGTAATCTATAATTAAATAAGGAGGTGTTTGTCCTTTATTATTGTTTATTACAGTATTATTTATCAAAGACATTATCATAAAGACATTACATATATAGTAATGGTAGACAATGTTTATGTTTATCTCGTATATATATAGATGGTTGTCTAAATTGTTTTTAGAAAAAAAAGTCAATTTCGGCATCAATGTTAATATTATATCATTTGGTTCAAAAGTTTATAAATTTGGCAACCATAAATTCCGTAATCAGTTGTGGGTGTAACTATCATATGTAACAATTATATTATTTTGTATATTGTGTTTATATTGTTATATTAACGGTTATGAATTTCGTATTATTATTGTTGTTGCGCTGAATTGATTATTATTATTTTGTCCTATTAATTGAAGAGTTCTTTAGTAGGATTTATATTGAACGATTCTGTATTAGGATCCGGGATTTCCTTCATTAGATTACAACTGGTGGAGATGTTAATTGCTAGTCGAGCATATTAAGCACAAATTCCGCTCGAAATGCGCTTCAAACATGCTTTCAATTATGCTTTAAATATTACGTTATAAATAGTTTGATTTATTTATTAGCAGAGTATGATGCTCAAGAAAATTGCTTAAGAAAAAACTCTTAGAGTAATTGTAAAAACACTGTTGAAATGATGCAGCGTTTTATTTGTATATAATGATAAAAATGTTGGAGCTAAACCCGTTTGAGTAAATTTAGCATGTTTAAAAGAATATTTTGAATTTGGTTGCTTAAAAGCCTGTTGTTTTAAAAGAGTTCAATCCGCTTGAAATCTAAAACTGGATTGAGCCAAACCTAAGCTGAACTGACGAGCAATCTAACATCGCTAATTACAAACTCGTATTAATAACTGGTTCATAATAACTAGTTTATTTTTTAATAAATGCACAAACATCATATTAAACGCCATTTAATTATTGTTGATGACAACAAAGTACTTTTCTAGCTTCGAGTTTACTTTGACTATTTGTTAAATTCATCAAATTTATTTTTGTTCAAATTTTATTTCTTCTCATTCTAGAAAATGTGAACTTGGGACGTCATAAATTTGTATTTGTTATCATCAATTAATACACTCCTAAATAATAATCGGTGAAATATTAAATACAAAAAATTGAAATCATTAAAATAAAATTCTAGAAAAATGATTCAGAAAATAATGGTAGAGTTATTTAATAAAAATAAACTAGATTCTTATAAATTATCTATCATTAATCTAAATGATTTTTTTTAGAATAGTGATTGGATTGGTTAATGCGAGCCAATTAATGTTAACATACCAATAACAAATAACAAAAAAGAAAAAGATCAAGGGCGTGTCGTTGTATGTGATGAGTTCACGTTTCATTTTTTTCATCAATTTATTACAAATTTTATTTTACACAAATCAGGAGACAAATATAACAATCGTTATTGTCGTTGTGCTAGTATTATTATTTATAACGATTGCAACGATTGCAATACATTGCTGTTCACAACTTCTAATCTTTATACTACTCCTCTAAGGCTGCTCTAGAGTTCTTCAGCTAGGAATCATCCAAGCCCAAGGATGTGCAACTTTTCTAAAAAAACGGCTCAACTTATTACAATGTAGACCTGACCTTCTGCAAACATGTTTTCATCACCATTTAACATTATATGCGGTAAGGTTAAACCTTTGGGTCTTGTGAACTGTCAAAGCGAACATGTTCTGGAGAGGCGATCGTCACCTCGATGCGCTTTTGACATTAACTTCAGAATGGCAAGCTTCATTTTTCGCAATTATTTGCTTATACTTGTCAGGGTTGGAAACTTCACCTCCTCATCAATCATCTTTGTCACCAATGGTTCCATTGCATATATTCTCATTAAACAATTTGTTGCTCAAGAACACCACCCTTTGATAACGAACAACGAGAAAATCTCCTAAGTTTGCAAGTAGATTTGGACCATCGCGTAAGTTTTTATGAAAGAATGATTTTGAACTTGTTAGTTGTGGATATGATGAGTCTTTGTTTTGTGTATTATTAATGGGATTTTGCGGTAATGGATGTTTGGTAAATGTCATTGTAACTCGACAACCATCAGTGTTAAAACAATGGTAAAATTTTCAAACGACCGAGTGCATGCGAGTGATGTTATGTTTCTTTTTCTATTTATGCATCTGAGCAACCGTTTATATTTATATATATATATATATAGGTTTCAAGGATGTGAACTTTCTCATAGAAGTAAAGCCTTGGTATGTGTAATTATGATTCACCTCTCAATCTTGAATAGGTTAACACATCATAATTATTATCAGTCAGACAGGATTTCACGCAATCGACATGTCTGTCATAGCTATGTAAAATTTTTGTGAAACATGTCAATTTTTACTATTAAAATCGAAGTTACTTTTTTGTTTGTTACTAGTACACCCATATATAGTTTTTAACAAGGAA